TATCAGGAATGACTCCCAAAAATTCTTGTTTGAATTACAGTTTTCTTTTATTGTGAATTCTGTGATGAACCAGTCCATGCGTCTGTGCAGCACCTGGTCAAAGACCAGATCAACAAACTTTGACCCGAACCCTTACATTCCTCCGTACATGCCTCCGCTCTGAGCAAACAAACATAATAACCCAGTGTTGCAGACCAGTACCCCAGGACTCCAGGTCTGCAGGTCTGCAGGTCTCCAGGTCTGAGTCCTGCTACAACAACATTGCTCTCTGAAGGTCATCAGAACCTGCTGGTAAATGCTGCCTTTGTCCTGCCACAGAGAGCGCTGTCGTTAAGACGCTGCTCTGTTTGTTCAACACCCAACAACTGAGAGTGGGGTGTGGACAGGGGAGAGGCTGATAAGACAAGAGTGTGTGTGTGTGTGTGTGTGCGGGGGCGTGGGGTTGGGGGGGTTGTAAGGTCACTGTGGTTTAGGTTAACAAGGTGTGAAACACGTGCGTGATGATGAAGAAAGTTGTTGTTTTTTACAGCTTTGGTTGAAAGTATGGAGTCAGGTGCATGATGGTCTCATGAAGAAGTGACGACCTGTGGCTGGGAATCAAAGTACAGCAGGCGGGGGGGGGGTTGCTTTGTTTTCTTCTGTCAGTGGCTTTGACGTGTAACCACCAGACTGTATGTTCATATCAAAGGGTTCCAAATATTTTTTACCTTTTGATTAGAAGGTGAACTCAGGAAGTCGAAACATTAAGGACACAAAGGTCTAAGTATATAGGAATATAAAAATGTATTTAGTTCAGTTGTAGTTAGCCAGAAACTACTAAAAAAATCTAAAAGGCTAATGCTAACAAATATCAAAAAAGCAGAAGTCAAAAACATTAACAATCTGTAAGAAAAACCTTTGTTCAGGTTTGATTCTTTGTTCAGGGACTGTAGTGTGTGTGTGTGTGTGTGTGTGTGTGTGTGTGTGTGTGTGTGTGAAAACACTGTGAAAGATGTGAGATAAGATACACAGTGTTACACAAAGTCTTCAGCACCTACTCGTTCTTCAAGTACATCAACATCCCAAGGTTGATCTGGTCTCACCTGCGTCTTATCTCCCATCTCTCTCTCTCTGTGCTGCTAACTATTTCAGACTATTTAAAGCCTGGTCTTTTACTGCTGCTGTTTAATGTAAGCTCAGCTGATATGATCCTGGGATAAGGAAACCCTGCCTGTAGAGGAAAGACTGCTTATAAAACATGAACTTTGGCTGCTGTGGGTGCACCATGTATCCTGGTGGTACTGATCTGTTTTATGCACTGAGTTCATCTGCAAGTGCTCAGGAAAAAGTTCCAAATTATGCATGGGACAGAGGTGGGGGACGGTCCAAAGGTTCTGTGTATTGACTCAGGGCTGAGAACAAAGTTAGCTTCACTGTTTACATTCTGATGTTTTCATTCTGTCCTTAATGCATCTCTGTTTGCTGTCACTGAGGTCTAGGCTGCACTAAGTGTTAGCTATCTATTTGACAGCGAAGTTCTTTAGTGAGTCAGAGGACACAGGGCTCGTTAAGGTGCAGTTGACCTGACCTGACCTTTCCTTCGGCTCTGCCTTTTTAATTTACCACTTCATCTGAAGGACAAGTCCTCAGTCCACTGTTTGCCAGGTCCCAGCAGCACCGGTGTCAGTGCAGAGCTCAGCAGTGGCTGTTGATCTTCATCCTAGGAGGAAGTTTTTAATTTTTTTTTTTTAACGGTTGCTGATGCATCACCAGGCCCGCCCCACAGTGTGATGAAATGTGTCCACTAAACAGCGTGACTCAGGTGAAAGTCTGCATTTGGCTCCCTCTTTGTAATCACAGTGATGTCACAGAGATCAATACTTAATGGTGCAGAGGAGGAAGCACAGAGGAGGGAGGGGCTGTGATCAAACTCCCTTTGGACTCCCTTTGTTTCTTAGACAACCAGGAGGACACAGCAGCAGGAGTCATGGTTCAGTACGTCCTCTGTCATTGATGCTGGCTAGAGGAAATATATATATAAATATAAATATACTGTATACTCTATATATACACAGTATATAAAGGACTGTGAGGGTCTCAGAAAGTAACTTTTTTAGGTCTGGACTTGTGGGTTCACAGAGCAGAGAGGCAGTGAGAGTTTTCCTCCCACTTCTCCCTGGTGGGAAACCAGAGGTGGACTAGAGTGCTCTCCAGGTTAATGGTGGGTGCAGCACATGAGTGTTTAGGCTCTGGACTCATTAGAGAGCTGTGGAGTGTGATGTCTGAAGAGCGCTAAACCCTTCACTGGCTCCAGAATCAAGTACCAGTGTCAAGTTTTCTCCTAATTTTATTTAAAAACATATAAACCTGGTGGAGCTGCTCAAGCACTGCCGTTGTTCTCTTCAAACGTGACTTCATCCACTTCTTCTTTATGTGTGAATCAAATTTTGGGAGATTGAAGGAGAAAAGTGCCAACAGGCCACTAACACAAAAACCACCACTGACCTCCGTAAATAAAAACAATGGTTAACCTTTGACCTTTCCACTGTCATATACTGTGTGCCCCGTCCAGATGTGTTGTTTTTCTCCAGAAGGTTGTCCTACACTGAACCTCCCGTCTGGACCTCAGCACATTGTGACAGAGCAGCTCCGTAAACAGCCATTGTGTGGTTGTATTGACAGTGTTGACTCTGGGCCTTTTGTCATATTATTGACAGTGTAGCCTGTGTGTGAATGGGGACTGTTCTGTGTCATGTGACCTCACAATAGCACAATCTTTCATAGAGATTATTTGTTACATTGACAGCTGCTCAAATACTGTGTAGAGATAAGTCAAAAAAACAAGACTGTGTCCAACTGAGATGTTTGGTCTCTGATGTCCAACCATGATGTCTCTCCTGTGTCTCCAGGTCTGGTTCTGAAGGAGATCGCAGAGACTCACAGGAAGATTCATAACGAACTTGAAGAAAACGTAAGCCTGTTGCCGTTTGTTTTGTTTTTTTCCCACAGTGAGCAGAAGTGAAGTGAACAGTAATTTGATTCCACCAGGCAGACTCTTTCCTGGAGCTTTAACCTGATCATACAAAAGCTCATTCATCCAGACTGTCTGTCATCAGCAGAACCTGGCCCACATATAAAGTCAGCACACAATGACAACGCTGTAAAAACAGTGTTTACATCCATCCCAAATACTTTACACACACATGTGAACCATTACTGTAACGTCATGGTACGCTAAAAGTTAAAATATAAGAGATATTGTAGTATTACTTCAATCTGAGTTATATTTCCTTTCCTAAAACATATTATAGGGCAAAGGCAAATAAAACCGACTTTGCATTTAAATCATCGACTCCACAGCAACCAAACAGGAGAAGGAAGGGGAGGAGGAGGAGGAGGAGGAGCAAAGCACAGCTCTCATCCAAACTGCCCTCTCCTCAGCATTGGTCCCTTCTTCTGTCTGTCAAATCCAAGTGTAGACAAACACTTAAAGGATTAAAAGAGTGACTTTGTTCAGCAGACACCTGTCAAACGACCTGTCCACTCTCCAGTGTTTAACTGTCATCACTGCACCAGCTCCGCTCCACTTACCTTCACGAAACAGACACGCTCTCCTCTCTGGACCTTTGGAATCCTTCAAGCTCGTTCTCTTCATTTTTGAGATTGAAATTGTAGCTGCAAGAGCTACAACAGAATTCAAAGAGAAAGGAGCAGTGCTTTCAGCTCCTGCTGTCTGTAGCTGAAATGTTTCAGATTCCTGTGACACAGAAAAGCTGTGGAAGGAACTAACAACAGTTTTAATTTTACCGTCAGTGACGTTCATGTCTAAAATGCAAAGAAATGTGGCGTGGTTTCTGCTTTCACTACTTTTCTTGGTTGGTAATTTGGCTGAAAATAAATTGTCAGCCTTCAAACTTAACAGTCCACTCCTGTTATCTTTGTGATCTGTGTGACTGGAGTGCACGCGGCCTTTAGAATCACATGAGTCCTGGGTGATGTAACAAACCCTCTTTCTCCCCTCCCCTGCCTCTGTTTCCCTGCAGTTTAAGAGATTTCACAGAGAGATAATCATCGAGCTGGAGAAGAAAACAGAGATGGACGTGAAATACATGAACGTAAGTGTTCAACACTTCAGTGCAAACAGGTGAAAAAACCCCAAACTGAAAATATATTACGTGGCTAAAGCTGCATCAGAGGCAGACATTTGAACTGAAAAAAGTAAACCCTTCAAGGGAACTCAGATTCTACTGGTTTATTTCTGTTTCTAAACTTAAAAAACCTCCTCACCCCTCCTCACCCTCAATGCCCCCTGCCCTTATCTTAGCTATTGTATTAGACATCGGTGGGTTTCTTTTAAAAAGGGTGTTTATAAAGGATTAGAAAGGTAACTGGCTTCTCTGTCTTTAACTGAGTGAAAAGTTAAAATAAAAGCAGTGTTTTTAAGAATCCAAACAGGTTGTAATGCCTCCAAATTTCAAACTTTTTCGGCTCCAAATTTAAGGCCTTATTTAAAATAAATAAAAAAATCATCATTCAATCTTTTGATGATTTTTCAACAAAATAGTCTGGTTCTGCAGGAGAAACGAATGCGATCGGACGTTGATGAACGAGGCCGCGGTCTGTCGGCCTGTCCTTCACTCTTGTGCTTCTGTTGTCACGTGTGTCACACAGGCCACCTTCAAACGCTACCAGTCGGAGCACAAAATGAAGCACGACTGCTTGGAAAGATCTCAGACAGACCTGAAGAAGCTGAGGAGGAAAAGTCAGGGGAAGCAGTCATCCAAGTACGAAACCAAAGAGAACGAGGTGAGACTGAAGTCAAATCCTTCCGGGTCTGAGCTTTCTCTTCCTCTAAAAATTCCCTTCAACTGAATATGGCAGTGCATCGGTCCAATCATTGACATGGTTGTCAAACAGAGTCCACCCACGATGGCCGTGATAAGACTATGACAAGTGTTCTGTTTGTGTGATGACGTGGAGGAGAATGTGACAGCACTCCACAGGTGTGGCACTGCACTGCTCTCAGTCAGATGCCAGAGGGGAGTGAATTTTCAGGTTCTGTTTTACAGCTGTTGTTTACAGTGGCAATAAATGTAGGAATGGAACAGTTAATGACCCACATTTATCTGAGATAGATAATGTTCTACAGAGAAAATAATAATAACTATAATAATAATACTTAGAAACTCTATACAATGAAACTCAAAGATGGGGAAAGTTTCCCAGAAGTCCTTGGGTGTTGAACAGGAAACTTTGTTACTTACTTACATAAAACATATTATTTTTCTTACTTCTCTTTTGTTTCACCTGACGAGGATGATCAGATCAGGTTTGGTGGTACAACCATGATAAATCTGTTGTTCAGGAATGTTGCACTGGACATTTCACACCTTATTCAAAGTCAAGCCACTTGTCATCTTTTGGAATTCCAGAGATGAAGTGACCTGCAGGGATGAGATCGTGGACAGACAGTGACAATCAATTCTCTCTGATCTGATTGTTCTCCTTATTTATCAGCAGCTCAGTGAATTTGAAGTTGTTTAAAGAGTCGTTACTAATTGTCATTGCCTTGTTGCCATGGAGCTGATATCCACGTTGAAGGGACTGTAATGTCATCCCTTCTCTGCTCAGTTTGCTGTGATTTTCAGGCTACGTTCTCATTAACAGAGAGGGAAGTGAAGCCGAGAAATAAATGCAAGAGAGTTAAGTCAAAGCGACAAGCATTTATAGCTGTTTACAAGTCACGCAGAGTTCCAATGAAACCTTAATCTGTCTGCATCTCAACACAAGTCGACTTGTGTGACTTTGTGTGACTTTGGAAGTTTTGCCCATCAGTATGGGCTGCACTCTGCTTTACCAGACTTTGTTAATCATTACGTTTATTTCACCTAAACCAGCACAAAGTTACTCTTCTGTCTTGGACGTTTCTGACTGACCCTTACATGTTCTATTACCTCTCGGCCTAAAAATAGCACTGAGGTGCACTCTCGGTCCAAATGTCTTGACCATTTATGAACCACTTCAGTGAAAAGCGGTTCTGACTGGTCTGAGTCTGGCTCTCAGCTTTTTCATCATCTGCTGGGAACAACAGCGTCGGTGCTGCGTGGAGCAGATGAAGCTCAGCACTAGAATAATCCTCCGTCTGCTCCTGAGAGCCTGTGTGA